GAGAGGAGCAGTTAGGCTCCATCATGTCGCTATTCCCAAACAACTATAGTGGAATCTTCAGGGAGTTTCCCCTTGGGTGGGTGAGATCTAGGGCACTCTTGGTTGAGCTGAATTATCTCACTTCTAATGGGAGTGTTCTTTCACTCTGTATTATTTGGTGCATATTCCCCTATATGCCTTCTCTGATTCATGTTTTGCCACCAATTTGGATAAATGAGTATCTTTGCTATTCTCTCTATGTGTGGAGATAGGAGATGGAGTTCCATGTATGAGGAAGAGAGAGATGACCAGTTTAGCTAGGCCATACAGAATGGGGGAGAGGGAGTAATGCACTACACATCTGGAAATATAGATTGGGCCCAGATTGTGAAGGATTTTAAAAGCTAAATAGAGAAGTTTATATTTGATCCTACAGGCAATAGGGAACCCCTGGAATTTATTGAGTAGGGAAGTGATGTGGTCAGATCTGTGCATAAAGAGAATCACTTTAGCAGCAATGTGGAGTATGCACTGAAGTGGGAAGAGGCAAGCTAGGGAGACAAATTATGAAGCTGTTGCAATAATCTAGGTGAGGGGTGACAAGTGCGTGAACTAAGGTAGTAGCTCTGTGAGTACAGAGAGAGGGACAAATCCAAGAGATAAAGATATAGAAATGGCAAGATTTGGTTTTGAGGATGAGAGAGAATTGAGGAGTTGAAGATGACACTATAAACATGGGAAACCAGAAGAATGGTGGTATTTTCCATAGAAGTGGGGAATTTTGGAAGAGGGGTGGGCTTGTAGAGAAAGATAATTAGTTTAAAAAATGTTGAGTTTAATATATTTAATATTTTATGTTCTCCAATTACATGTAAAAACAATTTTTAACATTCATTAAAAAATTTTTTTTTGTTTCAAGTTCCCTCCTTCCCTTACCTTCCCCTCATTGAGAAGGAAAACAATTTGATATAGGTTATACATGTACAGTCATGCAAAACTTATTTCCATATTAGTCAGAATATGTTAAGTTTAAAATGTATTTCTGATACCTATTCTGATACCAATAAGCAATTGGTGATATTAGATTGAAGCTCAGAAGACAGACCTGAGCTAAATATGTAGATCTGTAAGTCACTGGCATAGAGATGAAAATAAAACCTATAGGCACTGATGATGTCACCAAGACAAAGAATATAGAGAGAATAGGGGCCTATGATAGAGTCTTGTGGAACACCCACAATTAGAAGGCCTGATATGGATGCTGAGCTAAAAAAGGAGATGGAAGTAATAATCCAACAGGTAAGAAGAGAACCAGGTGAGGGTAATATCATTAAAAATCCATAGAGGAAAGAGTTTTCAAAAAGGATAAAGTGGTCAGCATTGACAAATGCAGCAGAAAGGTCAAGAAGGGTGAGAATTGAAAAAAACCCCCATCAGATTTGGCAATTAGGAGATCATTTGTAGCTTTGGAGAAAGCATATTATAGGAGAAACAATTAAATTCAATAAACCAAAGATGATAAACTACTTATAGAAAATTTCCTATTTGACAAGAATTGCTGGAAAAACTGCAAAGAAGTTTGGTAAGAAATTAAAGTAGACTACTAACTTATACCACAATAAACTCAAAGTGGATAACTAACCTAAATAATGGAGGTCATAAGAAATTTAAAAATGAACCACATCAGATACCTTTCACAGGGTAAATTCACCACCAAACAAGAGATAGAAGTGTTCATAAAACATTACAGATAATTTGGATTTGATGAAATTGAAAGACAACCATAGGAAAAAAACTGCCTTAAATCACTAACAATAAGATGAAGGCAAACCAAAATAATTTTGAGGCTTTACCTCACAACCAAGAAATTGGCAAAGATGACAAATGATGGGAAATAGTCAATATTTAGAGAGATGGTGGGAAGACAAGTACCCTAATGCATTTTGGTGGAGCTATGAATTGATCCAACTATAATGGAAAGCAAGTCACAATAATATGAAGAAAATGACTAAAATGTCCATATTCTTTGACCCAGAAATTCCACTAGTAGGCATATGTCACAAGGAGGTCAATGACAAAAAAAAAAAGTCTTATCTACACCAAAATACTTATAGCAGCACTTTTTGGAATAAGCAAAGAATATGAAACAAAGTGGATTTGTCCACTGAGGAATAGCTAAATAAATTGTGGCACGTGAATATAATGGAATATTACTACGTTCTTAAACATGATGAATACAGGGAAAACATAAACTGATTCAGAGTGGAGTAAACAGAACAAAGAGAAGTTAAGAAAACAATATACATAATGATTGCAACAAAATAGGAAGAAAAACAAAATATAAGCTATAACAAAAGATAAAACGATACTGAAAAGCATATGCAAGAATAAAATAAATGTAATTAATATATAAGAAAGAACACTGTCAATTGAGAAAGATTATTTATATCACATATATCTACTAATTATATCCAATCTACAGGCAACTAAAAATTATATAAGATCAGCAGCCAACCTCTTTATATAATTGTTCAAAAGGAATATGAGCAAATAGTTTTCAAAAAAGGAATAAAAAACCTATTACCAGTCATTCGGAACAATGGGCAATGTAGGAGACATAAATGCAAAAGATATCAATAAAATTTACTTTTACAACAAAGATGATCACTTGGAACTATGCCTTCAAATTACCAAAATGCATATCTTTTGACCATTATCAGGCTTATACCCCAAAGAGATCAAAGAAAGAGGAAAAGGACCCATACGTATGAAAATATTTATAGCAGTCCCAAACTGGAAACAAAAGGGGTCTGCCTAGTAAGCAAATGCAATGTAATTCTATTATATCATAAGAAATGATGAAATGGACAGTTTCAGAGGAAACTGGAAAGATTTGTATGAATTGCAGTGACGTGAGTAGAACTAGTAAGAACAATTTTTATACAGCGACAACATTACAAAGGAAAACAACTTTGAAAGACTTTAGGACTGTGATCAATGCAATGTAAAATACAAGTACAGCGTATTAAATATGAAATGTGCTACTCACCTCCTGCCAGAGAGGAGATGGACTTAAAATTCAGAACAAGCATACATTTTTGAACATGGCCAATGTGAGAATTTGTTTTGATGGATTATGTATACTTGTTATCAAGGTTTTATTTTGCTTTTTCATTGTCTAATTGAGTGAACAGTGGGATGGAGACATAACAGATACTTGTATAAATAAATGTAAAAAGAAAAAAGTGATTTTCAGGAATTTTTCATGCATTTATTACATCTAAAAGCAACAACCTGAGCAGTGGGGGAAAGGGCTCCCTCTGCTGGTCAAGTTTAGGTAATCTGAACTGTACTGAAACTTCTTGGGCAAATGAAAGGGAAAGATGTCCACCTGCATCGTCACTCATGAACCCTCCTTATTTTTAGGAGTTTAGGGGGACAGTGTCCTTTGATATTAGTTTCTTTGGGCTCATAGGAAGGTGGGTAATAGTCTTAGTAGTTCTCATGAATGGACGTTTCTTTACATCAAGCTTAAAATTGCCCCACCCTTACTTCTACTCTACTTGGCCTTTGGGCGAAGTCGAACAAATTTAATCTCTCCCATAAGAAAACCTTTTAAAACACTTGAAGATCTCTCTTCTCTAGGTTAAACATTCCCCTCAGTTCTTTCAAATGATACTTATGTAGAATTCTCGAGACCCAGAGATATATTCTCTATCTCTGAGGGGCTTCAGCCGCGAGCCTCACATGGATCAAGATCATATACTGAGGAGGGGGAACCAGACCCAAAAGGGGAGTCAGACATTGTTTCCTCTTGAGTCATCTGTTTTTTTTATTCCTCTCTCCTGCCCCAAGGCAGAATCAGGCTCAGGTTCAGGCTCAGTCCTATCTGGACAAACACTAGTTTTTCCTGCCACGTATAAATGGCCACTAGGTGGGGAGAGAATCCTCTCAGGAAAAGTCTGAGGAAGAAACCCACTTTGTTGATAAAGGAGGGGAGAACAAGATTGCAACTTGTCTCTTAATTGTCTCTTCCGATTTGAAATTTTGTGATAAGTTGAGAATTTACTTAACATCCTGTTTTTTTCCGTATCTTCTACTAGTTAATGAAAATATACGTCTACAGCCAGGCCATAAAAATAAAGTATACAAGAAAGCAATTTGACTCCCCTTGTTTATTTTAACCCTTTGGCCACATTTTCTATTCCTGCCCCGCTGCTTTAAATTTCATTTTAGCCTTGGAGGAGACATTGATTTGGCTTGTTTCTGTTCCTGAACACAGGTAAACAAATATAAATCTTGAGCTCAATATTTGTTTCTAGTCTTGTCATTTAGTTTAAGAGTTCAAGAAGCAGAGAATTCCTGGGTAAAGATGATAGCAGGGGATATGTCCTGCTACTACAACTTCTCAGAGGGGAAGATGATCACTGACAGGAGGCTGGGTCATACACAATTTGCAGAACAGGAGATAGTGGGTTTTGAGTGAGTTGGTTGGACAGTGCAGTTTTGAGGCAAAGGTATTAAATGCCATCAAGTGTTTCATATTTTAAGTATTAACCTCATGGGAGACTATGAGGCGTTATGCATCACAGTGTCATATTTTAAATGTTTTTCCATATGCTGTTATGAGTCTTTTGGTTTTAAGCATTTCTTTTGTGGTAGAAGAAATAAATACGTGATCTATTTTGTACATCGAGTACCCCTCTGGAAGGGATTCTAAATCAGTCCCTTTTGGAAAGGTGCTGGAGATGAGTCAAACCTAAGGAGATTTTCCCTGGGAGTCTGGGAGGAAAGAGGAAGGTTCAACGGGTTGTTCTGCACCCATGGCAGCATCACCCTTATGGAATCAGGAGGGAATTCAGACCTCTAGCTCTAAAGAACCGACCAGGGAGGGACCAGTTGGGCTACGGAAATGTAAAGCAAATGGCTAGCCCTGTTGCTTTAATGCGTTAAGTTCAACAAGAACTTTCTCTTGTAATCTCTAGCTAACAGTTTTTCCCATCCCTGTCTCATCCACCCAGCCGTGACCCCCACCCCCGGCTCCCTTTCTGGAGTTCAAAGGACTACTGCAGCCTGAGTTCCATGGTAAGTTTCCAGCATCAGGACTCGCTGGAAGGGCAGAGAATTTCCTCAGGTTTTCTTTCGAAGCCACGCAGCTCCAGGCAGGCGAGAGCTTGACGGGAGAGCTCGGAGCTCTGGAGCAAAAACTTCGCTTTGGTGTAACTCTGAGCTAGAAAATACAGATCTAATACATATATGAACAAGGAAATCCTGCTGTATTCGTGCTACCAGAATGATATAAGATAAGGACTGGCCGACTTCCCTGGTGGTCTAGTGGTTAGGATTCGGCGCTCTCACCGCCGCGGCCCGGGTTCGATTCCCGGTCAGGGAAACTGCTTTTTAAGTAACTTTTCTACCTCAAAAGCCTGTCTGCATTGAACGAGGGAGATTAGGTACAGGGAGTATTTTCTTCAACGTGCGGTGCTGAACACAGGAGGCTAGCAACAAAGTTTCCAAGATAGTAGTTTGGGTGAACGCTGCCAGAAGGAATGACAGAAAATTGAGTAGTCTCAATTTCTGGCAAAACACCGATTACGGCCTTAGTGTACCCTGATACTTCAATCTTGTGGGGGGAACCCAAACCATAACCCGCTGGGCAATGTGAGATACTGGAGAAGACAGGCAGATCACATGCAGGAAAATATCTTTTTTCATTCTTTCCGGAGTTACAGAAGCAATAGGGGCCGGAGGAGAAGAAGCTTTGGACACCCTGGGCAACACCTGCCGGACTCCCGAGGAAAGAAGTGTCTCTGAGAGAAGCCTGAGAAAGAGGATGCTGAGGTAAACTGAAGAAGCTATTTCATGCGTAATTATATCCTGTTAAGGGCCACGTAGCCTTCCTCGGAATGACGTGTCCATTGGTAATATCCTGTTCTGCGAGGTCCAGCCCCAGGGGCGGGGTAGAGGAGCCATGACTGTGTGTGACATATCATTCAAGAGGCGGCAGAGCTGTGGGCTTCTGTCAAGTCTCCGTTAACTGCAGCACAGTATCACGTGGCTGTTCTCTCCCGCCCTGAAGGCGGTACCAAGCGAACTGGATAAAAGGTCTCACTCTTCCTCTCCCGCTCTTTTTCTCGTTCTTGCTCCCGCTCGCCTTCTCCATGATCAATCCCTAATAAACTGGTTGAACACCTTCCACTCGACTCGTCCTTTCGTGTATCCGGGTAGGCTCTGAAGTGGTGAGTATGACCCTGGCTGCCTGGTCTCAGTAGGAGACAGTGCCCCGGCTGGTGCAAGTGGCGTCCAATGAACCCACGACCCTGAGATTAAGAGTCCCATGCTTTACGGACTGAGCTAGCCGTCCTGGGCATAGACCCTAGAGACGCCCGCGCCTTTGGGGACACAGTTTTTCGCTGTTGCCCATGGGTGCATGTTAATGGACTTGATTTACAAAGGTGGGCCGTGGTAGGTTCCCAAATGGCCTCCTTTGACAGGGAAAACCCCGGGGCTATTCCCCTTTTACATCATTTGATTTACTCCGTGTTACAAACCCAGTTAAATGGACCAAAACTGCCTCCGTTACGTGCGGACGCAGAGGTGCACTAAAGGATCGGAGTCAGGAAACCCCACCAAGTTGCCCCCAATGGGGCCTAAGACAGGCAAGTAAGAGAGCCCTATCACGGGTGGTGAACAGGAAAAGGATGAAGCAAGGGACTCAGCCTCAAAAGAGGCTGAGGAAGAGGAGTGCTCTGATGCACTTCCTCCTCCCCCGTCTGACTGGCTTAGGCTTTCCCCTTCAGCACCTCCTTTTGAACCAGGAGGAGCTTCCTTGCTGGCCCAGGCCTGTAGGCAAGCCCTCCAAGAAGGGGACGAGGAAGCCAGAGGGTGGCTAGACCCGTGTCCAGTCTTTGAATCATACCAAGGGCGCATCTGGTCGCCGTTAGACTGGAAAAAATTGAAAGATTTAAAACAAGCCGCTGAGTCTTACGGGGTTGATTCCCCTTTTGTAAAAGAGATGCTTGCTTCACTGGTTAACAGCACAATACTGACACCCAATGACTGGAAAACACTGGCTAAGGTAGTATTGAAACCTGGGGAATCCCTCCAGTGGATGACCACTTTCGAGGATATTGCTAAGACATTTGTCTGTGATATGCAAAGCCGGACCCCCCAGGCAGATTGGCAAAAGATTGTGGGGGTGGGCAAATATGAAAATAATGAGGAGCAGTTGAAGTATGACGCTACAGTATATGCTGCGGTCAGCCAGGTGGCTCAGAGAGCTTTTCAGAAGATACAGCCATCTGGGAAAACAACACCTGCACTTAGAAAAATAACACAGAGACCAGATGAGCCGTTTGCAGATTTCCTTGCAAGCCTACAGGCAGCTGCAATGAAATTCGTAGGGCAGTCAGAAGCTACTGGTCTCATTACACAAAGACTTGCCAGAGAAAATGCTAACATTGCCTGTAAAAAGATTCTGGTGTCCTTAGATCCAGAGACTGGCCTAGAGGAAATGATAAAGAAATGTGAAAATGTTGGCTCTGCCGCTTATCAGATGCATGCCTTGGCTGAGGCCCTTTCGGCAGGGATTATCAAAGGCCTGCAAGGCTAGGGCAAGCAACCAGAGAATCGGGTCTGCTATGGGTGTGGGAAACTGGGTCATTTGAAGTCACAATGTAAAAGTGGGGCTAGGCCTAAAGTCATTTACTACAATTGCCGAAAGCCCGGACATTTTTCCAAGGAATGCAGAAAATCCAATTGGGAAACGGGTGAAGGGGCCCCTCGAGGGCCCCTGCCAGGCCGACCAATGGAACGCCAAGGAATCAACAGGCGTTTCCTGTTATGCAAAGTCCCCCAGCTCAGAACCAGTCACTACTAAGAGAATATCAGCGGCTCCTCCCTTCCTCGGACAACCCCTTAAAGCTGGGGAATTCTGCTGAGTGGAACCCAGAGACACAGTTCTAATGCCCATTTCCCCCATTTCCCCTAATTGGCAAGCTGCCCTGGTGGTGGGCACGACAGATTACGTTCCTTTAGTAGTTCATACCACCATGCCCGCTCGTCAAGGAGAAAAAATCTTGGTTACAAATATCAAAGATCACACTGTCTTTATTGACAAAGGGGACATTGTGGCAAAGGCCCTACCGTTAAAGATACAACCTCCCCTAGAGACCCCAGATATTGATTGGATGCAACATGTAGAGCATGGCAAACCCTGGGCCACTATAACGGTGAATGGGAGGCCGTTTCGGGGTATTATCATCACCGGTGCTGACCGCTCTGTCATCCCATCCACCATGTGGCCCCCTCGATGGCCTTTACAACAGGCTGATACCCAGGTGCGAGGAGTAGGGGGCATACAGATCGCCCAGTTGTCACAACAGCCTTTGGAATGGAACTTAGCAAGGAAGCGAGGTACCTTTAACCCCCTGGTTATAGAGGGGCTGAACTATTGTCTCTGGGGATGGGATATTCTGAAAGCATCTGGAGCCGCGGTGTACATACCCGAGACAAATTTCTGATGGGGGCCATTGAGAACGCATGCCCCATACCGTTGGTATGGAAAACATCTGAACCTGTCTGGGTTCCTCAGTGGCCCCTAGTGGCAGAAAAGACCCAGGCACTCCGACAAATTGTAGCAGAACAACTAAAGAAGGGCCATATAGAGAAAACCACGAGCCCATGGAACAGCCCTGTGTTTGTCATAAAGAAGAAATCAGGCAAGTTTAGAATGTTAGTGGATCTGAGGCAGGTTAATAACAGCATACAACCCATGGGCGCCTTACAACCTGGGCTACCTTCCCCAAACATGGTACCAAAAGGATGGCCGATAACCATATTAGATATTCAAGATTGCTTCTTCTCTATCCCATTAGCACCACAGGATTTTCCCTGCTTTGCCTTTACAGTACCCACAACTAACAACATGACCCGGATGAAAGATATCACTGGAAGGTTCTTCCCCAAGGCATGTGTAACAGTCCCACTATATGCCAATTCTTTGTAGGGGTGATTCTGGAGCCTATAAGACAACAATGGCCTCAGAGTATAATTCTCCATTACATGGATGATATCTTGCTTGCCTCCCCCCAATCTGCTGCGCTTGCGAGCCTGGAGAAAAAAGTTATATCTGCCCTGGCAGCCCATGGCCTCTTTATAGCCCCTGATAAGGTCCAAACGTCCCCACCATTCAAGTATCTGGGCCATTCCATGGGAGATCTCATTGTCTCTTTAGAAGTTCCAAAAATTGATACTCAGAGTGTCAATACCCTAAATAAGTTTCAAAAATTAGTAGGACAAATTCAATGGCTTAGAAGCAAAGTGCCTGTGCCCTTTTCACTGATGGCACCTTTATATGACATCTTAAAAGGGGATTCCAACTTGCAGTCCCCTCGACAGTGGAACCCTGAAGCCTTACAAGCCTTCCAGAAGATCTTACAGTTGGCGGCTTGCTCATCAACCTACAGGTGGGAGCCCCAACAGCCACTGGAGGTGACCATCCTCAAAGAGGAGCCTCCTTATAGTGTCATCCATCAGGGACAGGAGTCCCAAGAATTCATATACATGAAACGGGGAAATACCTCACTCCCTAACAGAGTGGAATTTCTAGGTCACTTTGCTTTGCAGGCCCTTCAGAGGGCCACCCACCTCAGTGGACGGATGCCCATCTGTTAGGGGCCTGCTGCTCCCGGTGGGTCTTGGCTTTGTCCACTGATACGGAAACTGTCCTAGAAGCAGAGTGGAGGGTCCTCCAGGTAGGAGGGTGAGTTTTCCTCCTCAGATCAAAAAAGAAAAATTTTTAGGTATTGGAACACAATTTAAAGATAATTTAGCTCATTCACATTAGTAATATGCATGTTTCAAGTTTTACAAATCTAGTCTTGTTACAAATTGGTACACTTTTATGTGTTATGCCAAGCAATTTTTAATAATTTAGATTTTATTAAAATGTGAACTAAAAGAAACTGCAAGGTAGTGAGATAACTATGTAAATTCTGCTGAATAATTTTATCAAGTCCAGTTAATCTTGTTCCATGATGTTTTATAACTGTCATTTAGAAAATCAGATATTTCCATCTTTACCTATGATTGCAGAACAACTTAGAGCTAAAACAATTTAACTAGCACTCATGATAATTACCAAATTGTTAACTAAGTTATTTGCAGTTACTGTTTTAAGTTAAAACCTAGAATTCTTCATTGCTTCTGAGTGAAAAGGAGGGGCACAAGGCAATTCCCTTAACTTTGTAAGCTTGCCAAAAGCTCCTGCCACCTGTGTTCCAAGGTCATCTGCTCTGAGAAGAGAATTTGTTTATGTTGTTGAGTTCCTAAACAATTAAGTGAACTTGCTGAAAAATTGCAATTTATAAAGTGATTCCTAATGACTGGCTTTTAAATGAGTTTAAATTCAAGAAAAAATTGATGCTAAGTACAATCTTATATATATATACACATGAGTCCTGGTAAATCTTTATTACTTATTACAACTCCATGAGAATAAAATTGACTATATCTGGCTTTAAGCCGTGATTAGGGAGACTTACTGCTTAAGGTAAAAGACTTTTAGGACTATAACTAATTTTGTTTTGAGTTTTAATTTGGGTATAGTCATCTCTATTAAATTAGTATTTGAAGTTTTCCTGTTATGTTCCTTTAAAAAGGAATGTTTTCTACCATGTGCAAAAATTTTGTTCATACCACTTTTAAACTTGTTAGGCAGAAATATTCCCAGACAAAAATGATTTATTATATGGATGATAAATTTTGCAGTTGTTCTATTACCAGCAAACTTTCCTTATTAATGTGTGAGCTTTAACAAGCTCTTCAGTCTTAAAGATTTATAATTACTCCTGATAAGGCACAAAAGAAATCACCCTTTGCTTACTTTGGACATATTGTTTCACAGCCCATAATTAGACCCCCAAAATATTACAAAATAGGAAAGATTCTTTAAAAGCTCTTAAAGATATTAGCTTTAGCCTGCCTAGTAGATCACCACTAATCAATTATTTTAAGATGAATTTCCTCAATTAATTCCCTTTAATTTGTGGGGGCATGATATTTTACATCTAGGGGAGCTGTTATTTTGTTTGGGTGGAACAGTGGCTTCTGAAAAATAGGAAGCTTTTTACAGTAAAGCAATTAGTTGAACAAGACTTTTAAAAGGACATATAGAATTCTTTACAAATCCTTGGAATTCACCTGTTTTTGTTATTAAAATCAAGTCATCGAAATAGAGGATGCTTCACAACCTCTGAGCTATTAATGAAGTCTCCCTTCACCCATTATGAATTCTGTTTCCTAGCCTTTGATAGTTATTGATTTAAAAGACTGCTTTTTTTTTTTACTTTCCACTAAGAAGCTGACAAATGTTGCTTTGTTTTTGTCAGAACACCCTGCAACCAGGTTTCAATAGAAAGTCCTTCCTCAAGGCATGAAAAACTGCCCTACAATGTGTCAAAATTTTATTAATAAAGCTATACAACCAATTACGAAAAAATTTCTTAATGCAAAAATAATACACTATATGTGACATACTTTGTAGCTGTTCCACTGAAAACTCACACATTTATTTCCTCAGCCTCAATTAGCTTTACAAGAATATGGGCTTATTATAGCCCAAGAAAAAGTTTAAGAAAAATCTTCATTCTCCTACCTAGGTCATATTGTCACCGAATCAACAGTAAAGCCACAAAAGGTACACTTATGCTTTAATTCTTTAAAAGCACTTAATGATTTTCAAAAACTTTTAGGAGATATTAATTGGTTTCTACCACCACTCCAAATTGCTGCAGAACAACTGACTAATTTCTTTTTTACATTTAGAGAAGATCCTAATCTAAATTTCCCTAGGACATTAACTCCTGAAGCAAAAAAGGAGCTTTATTTAGTCAAACAGAAAAATTCCTGAAGCTCAACTCACCCATTTTTTTTAAATGAAGAGGTACCAGGTGCTATTCTTAGTACTCCAGTGTCCCCTACAATTTTTAACTTATAGGAAATTTACTTTCTGTTATTAATCAACCTTATAATAAAAGACAAATAGGTACTCTTGTTTCCTCTTAAAGAATTGGCAAATTGCTATTACTATTTTTTCTGGTCATATTGATATTGATAATTACTTACCATTTCTTAAGATATTAACCTTTTTTACTAATTATTCATAGGTATTTCAAAAAGATTGTTAGATTTAACCCCATTCCTTCAGCACCCATGACATTCATCGATGGGTTAAGTACAGGTATAGCAAGATATTATGAGCCTATTAATGTTGTTTCTGATAACAAGTAATCTGTTTATGTCTCTCAAAATATAGAGACTGCAAAGTTAAAATATATTACTAGTACACAATTATATACTGAAAGCAATGCCATTATTGATTCTTAACTACAATGCTGCCACTTAACTTTTATTAAGCTTTTATTGAGCCTTTTATTAACTATATTCTGCCAATACAACAACCTTAACTGTAGAGAAGAAAACATTTTGTGACTATTTTTGAATAAATAAACTCCTACAGTATTAGAAACATAGTATAAAGAATAATGATTATTTTTAATTAACAGCCTGTTTCAAATCTATCAAGAGGCTTTTCTCCCAAACATATTTGACAATTGGATGTAACCTATATGCCTTCTTTTGAAAAGCTTTCTTATATTCATGTTATAATGGATACTTTTTCTTCTTTCATTTTTGCCACTTTACAAACAAGTGGTACAATTACATATGTGATCAATCATCTTTTACAAGCCTTCACAGTTATGAGTGTACTTAAATGAATTAAAACAGATAATGCTCCTGAGGAGCTTATTAGCAAAACATTCTTCTTTTTTATGCTTTTTATAACATTTCTCTGATCACAAACATTTTATATAATTAAAAACAAAGATATTAAAATTATTCTTTTTAAACAAAAAAGGGGAATCTGGGCTATTACCCCTCATTGATAATTGGTTATTAATTTTTGACAATTGGCTATTAATTTTTATAATTGGCTATTAATTTTCTAAATATTAACAAAGATGAGTACACTCCAGCCTAAAAACATCCAGAGGCCCAGATCCATTACTGGATCCATTACTAACGAGGGGATGAGGGTGTGCTTATAATTTTTCAGAAAACTTTGATAAACCTGTCCGGATACCGGAGAAAGATGTCAGAGCATGTATAACAACTCACAGCTCGAATGCAAAGTATGAGGATTCTGGGAAAGCGCAGAAGGAGCCAATCTACAGTGACAGTCGCCTTCCCACATGGGGTCCAGTGAAAGCTCCCTCTCATCGAGCTATGGAAGACTCCTGAACTTGTATTTTTAACAATAGTAGCTTTACTTTCTGCTCAAGTGGTATGTACAGACTGCTCAGCACTGGACTTATTTTTCCTTTTCCACCCTGGATGCAACCTCTCACATATATGGACAAATTGGGACTACATATATACTAATAACACCTGTATATTCGGAAGACAAGAAGATCCCTATCTCCAGGACAAAGTCAATGTTACAATTACCCTCAGATCTCTAGCATCCAGGACACCTATATGTTTTTCAAAATTTAGCAACAATATTGAATCATGTCTGTTCCTTGTTACATCATTTGTTAATACCAGTTTATCTATTGGATATGTAAATTTTATTCAATCTAATACTATTTTTGAATTGAAATGATACTTGTATCAATTGTACTCTCAAACAATGTATTGATCATAATGACTATATTGTACTTTTGGTAAAACAATAATCATTTGTTATTTTCCCTACTAATATTACACATGAATAGTTCCAGAACTCTGGTAAATGTTTCCTAAAATTATCATTTCCTCCTTAAGTCACTCAAAACAATTTATTGTCTCCTTATTATTGGTTTAATCATTGTCGCTTCTTTTATTGTATCTGCTGCTGTTTCATCTATTGTGCTACAATCTGAAATCTAAACTGCATAATTTGTATATGACTTAGCAAAAATGTTTAGTACATAATGCACAAGAAGGCACTACACGAACTTGTAACCAAGCTGTGACTCTTATTGTTATTGTCAGTGGTGGTACAGAACACAGCAGTAGAGACAGGAAATACAACAAGATGGATTGTTTGAAAATTCTACATTGTCATTGGACATCGATGAGTTATACCATATTGCTCAAGAAATTTCACATGCGGCCAACGTTGTTCCCACGATGATTGTGTATGTCGTCTATTTGGCGTTATTTACTATGTTGTTTATCATGCTTTTGCCATGCTTGTTGTCATTAATATTTAGAATTATTCACAACTTTATTGAGACACTTAAACAAGAACATCTAGACCACTGGCTGCTTTTCACAAGGTTGAGAAGTAGGTCTTTAAACAAAAACTGAATGCGACGTGATGGGGTATCGGTTCCAGACACAGGCGGCTGCGCCCCAGGATTTCTTATGTGCTCTAAAGACAAGGTGCAGGCTTCAGTGAATGGGACGGAACTCGATCTACTGGTGTTCCACTTACAGACTAAGGACTGTAATCTGACCAACGCCATTGGCTCTGAGGCTCTTCCCGTGAATATGACTGTATTCCTGGTGGGAATAAGAGATGTTAATACATGCGACTGAGCCACATGTATTGGCTTACAAGCCGAACGATTGGTACAGCACCAGAGCCAGTTATTATATAGCACGCATGGCCAAGGCATTAGAGAGACAGAAGAGGGACCTCTTAGGTGCCCTTGCCTTAGAGGCGATCATCTTCGAGGAGTTTCAAATACAGGACTTATATGCTGAAAACAAGATCCTGGCTTCACAAATTGATCAACAAGCACGAATCCTGCAACAAGCCATCGAAAGGCAGGCACGGATAGATCAACAACTGGAACTGCAAATTCAGGCGCTAGCTGGAGTGACCCGTCAGCTTAGCAATGAACTGCTCTGGCAAGAACTGTGGAGCCAGCTCTCTTGTGACGGAAGATACACTACCGCATGCGTGACCCCCTTTGAAGGCACGCTGTAATGACACCACCAGCAATGACACTTGGATAGCCCGATGGTGCAAACACCAGGCAACTTTGAGTGCCATTCAATCCACTAATATGACTTTGGAGATACAGGCATTGAGACGATTAGTAGAACTGTCTAAGAACGCTACGACACACATGCATGACAGTTCTGACGATGCCATTCAGAAGATTACGGACTGGATGAGACATGTGTCCTCTCCAGTGGCGGGGTGGTTGGGCCACATTATCGCTCTTGGGTTTGCAATTGTCTTTCTCTTTTTTCTTCTACCTTCCCTCCTTGTTTGCTTTGTGCGTTTGCTTAGGTTTGCTATTGAGCAGGTCAAATCAGAGCTTTTGGTGCTACGGCCAAGGCCCCACAATCTTAAACGAAAAGGGGGAGTTAGGGGCCTGCTGCTCCCGGTGGGTCTCGGCTTTGTCCACTGATACGGAAACTGTCCTGGCAGCGGAGTGGAGGCGTATGGGCTGTGCATGACGTCACTCTAGAGGTGGCAAAGCCTATGCTTCTGCCACGTCTCCATCAGATAGAGGCATGTTAACACGCCTCCTATGATGTCTATTGAGGCAGCTGAGCCAATACACTCATGCCAAGTCTCTGTCTAGAGCCGCAGCGGTACGTGATTGTTCTCTTCCGCTTAAGGGGTGGGGCCAGATTGGTGGTCAGGGTCGGGCCTCACTGGGGGCGGCACTCTCCTCCTCCCTCTCTCTTGCTTCTGCTTTGCTTTACCGTCTGCCGATTTCTCTCACTCACCCTTATGGATTTTCTGTAATAAACGGTTAAACACCTCCTGATTGACTTGTCCTTTTGTGTATCCGGGTGGGCTCCAAAGACTCATGGATGGCCAGAACTGTGAGTATGAACCTGGTAGCCTGATTTCAGTAGTAGACAAAGCACGGCGATTCCAGACATTGCACCCATCTTCCACCCTTCTTGCTCCCCCACTGAATTTGCTCTCCTAGCCCAGAAATCCTACCTATGGTTCCTATGTATGCAATGGGCCACTGTAGACTATAAGACCTCATCTTTGCTCCCTGACCTCTTGAAACCTTTTGCGCTATTGAAACCTCCCCGTATTGTTCAAATGGAACCTGTCCAAGGTCCGAATGTTTTCACTGATGCCAATAAAGAAAGGGCCTCGATATATCATGAGGGCTGAAGGAGTATTAAGGTTCTTGACATTCCCCAATCCTCGACCCAGAAAAATGAGCTACAGGCAATCATCTATGCCTGTCAGCACTTTCCTGAGGCCATTAATATTATCTCTGATAGCCAGTATGCAGTGGGAGTGACCAGGCGCATTGAAGATGCCTTGCTACTGCATGACAGGACCTGTATACTCACTTTGCTTCACCAGTTGCAAGAAGCCCTTTGCGGCAGAGCTAACCCTGTATATATATATTGCATGTTTATTCTCACCAACCCATTTATGGTCCCATATTTGAAGGCAATGACATTGCAGATCGCGCCCTTTCAGGTATTGTCTCTGTCATGCCACTTGAAAGTAGCACCTTTAAAGTGCACCAATTTCTTCATTTGCCAGCTCACTCATTGTGCTGGTTGTAAGGCATTACCTGGGAGCAGGCCTGCAACATTGTTCCCGCCTGTGTCCACTGTGTGCCCTTCCTGCCCCAACTGCCTTCCAAGGCTGTGAACCCCCAGGGTGCAGCTCCTAACGAGCTGTGGCAAATGGATGTGACCCACATGGGATCAGTGGCTATACAGGTGTCTGTGGACACCTTTTCTGGCTTTATTATGGCCATGGTGGCACAAAAGGAAACCACTCAGGCCATTATCACCCACCTATTCCATTGCTTTGCGGCCATTGGCCTTCCGGCCTCTATAAAAACAGACAATGGGCCTGCTTATACTTCTGCCTGGTTTGGTCAATTTTGTTTCCATTTTGGCATTAGGCATATCACGGGCATTCCCTATAACCCCACTGGCCAAGCCATTGTGGAGCGTGCTAACCGCACTTTAAAGACTCTCCTTTTTAAACAAAAAGGGGGAGTTAGTGATGGTCGCCGGGGCCTTTGGCCCGCTCAATCGGATATAGATCTGGCCCTGTTTACTCATAATTTTTTGTGTTTCGGGACTTGACCCTCGTTCCTACCATGAAACACTTCGGGCTGCTGATGACATGCCCTAGCCATATGTCCCCCAAGAAAACCATGCTTCAAGCACCTCGAGAGCCATGCTTTGTTATGTGGAGGGACCATGCAGGAGTATGGAAAGGGCCCTCTAAGGTCCTGTTAGAAGGACCTGGATTTACTTGCATTGCAGATGAGGATGAAGCAGAAGGACAGTGGTGGGTCCCAGCCTGAAAGACAAAGTATGTTGATCCCACCAGAGAAGACAAGGCCACGAAAGAGACACGGCCGATGGAGAAATCAGAAGAGGTGATGAGGGCCCAGATGCCGCAAACAGACGCCACTTGCTAAAAACCTTCTGCTCATTAGCCTTGCCTTAAGTCATCTATCTCTGGGTGCCATGAAAGCCATTCCCTGGACAGGCGTAGAGGAAAACACAGAAAGATGGGTGGTGGTGCCTGGAGGACAGTTGCAAATGACCACGATTGAAGAAGTGACACCAGAGATAGGATTGGCAGGTAATACATCCTTGCTTGTGAGTCACCATCATGTCCACATCATCACGCCCAGAGTTAAAACGAATCATTTGGCAAATTGGACTGTGCGAGGCACCCCAGTATGCATTACCACCGCAAAAAGACCTTTGAGGCACAACATGATAAGGACAACACGACTAAACACCTTTGCCTCTTGGCGGGACATATGGGTATTTGGACCATGCAACCTTATATGAACAATACTTGGGGCCACCCCACTGAGACTAACCTGACAATGGGTGGCATATTGTGTGAGCAGTTTGCCAATGGCTCTTGACTGATTTACTGGCCATGCCACTACAGGGAGCAGATGCCCATGCACCTGCCTTTCACCCGCTGTCACGATCCCCTTCCATGCACTAGTTATATTGCCAAAGGATACCTTTCTGACCCAAGGTGGAATGACACATTGGGCGTTAGGATGGAAGCTTGGGTACTCAAAGACAAGCCCCACAGGAATACGGAACTGCTGGAACCAGTGCTCAGCTACCACGGGGTTCCTCATGTTGGACTTTGGAAGATCGCATTGGCTATGATCCAGAATGTGTCAATGAACTCTACTATATGTGCATGTAAGGGATCACCGTGCCAAGACCCTACTTTCCAGCAATTTTACTCTTACTTTGGAGTTGAGGCCGCCAACTACACCACCTGCTCAGTTCCCTGAACTGGATGCGACGTGATGGGGTATTGGTTCCAGACGCAGGGGGCTGTGCCCCAG